TTTATAAGATTCTTATTGCTGTTTTTTAACAGTTTAATAGTAGTTTTGTATTAATATTGATATTTTAGTGGAAATTTGACTATCTAACTGCTACCTACCGTTTGCTGTTGCAACAGAAAAAGCGTGGCATGAATTTCGTCTTGCCAATACTGAAACCTAGGAATGGAATGGTATGATAAAGTTTGGTTTCCCGTTGCAAATCACATTCCTGATTTGTTTCATTAATATTTGTGCAAGAAATGGTTTGATGTTTCTTTCCTCCTTTTTTAGAACTTATTACAGCTCTCATGACAAACACTTTCTGAAATTTTTTAGGCCAATCCAAAGCAAATTATTTTGGGCTCCCAAACAATACATGCTTCACTAGATAACGACTTAAATAATTCTGGCTTGGATGAAAATGATTTGATGATACAAGAAACAGATGAAGCTACATCACATGGCGCTAGGAAGTCATTTGAGGGAAGCAATCTCATTTCTTCTGTAGCAACTCAGCAGGACAAAGTTTTTTTTTTTTTTTTTTTTCATCATTACATAATTTCCCGCTAGGGTTTTCACCTTTTCTAAATCTATTCAAAAAGCAGTTAGTGTTATCAAAATTTTGCTCGCGTATGTGTTTTACTTACATTAACCTCCAGTTTAGAATTTATCATATGCTTACGCGATGCTCAATATGCCATTTACCCACTTGGGAAGCTCACCCAAACAATTTATTGCCTGTGGCATTCGGCAGGAAAACAACTTTGCTACTGCCGAATTAGTTCATGCTACTCCAGCACGACATCGAACCAAGCCTCAAGTAAGTAACTATGTAATACAAAAAATCTTAATTTTATCATGAAATAATTTTGGAGTTAGACACTGAGGTATATTGATCGAAATCCATAAATATTTTAGTGTGGTACTGTTTTTGATTCCCGTTTTTACTACCGTGCAAATGACAAAGAAAATTGGAATCCAGCCTCCTTAAGAATGCATGGTTTCATAAAGGTAATATTCAATTTAAGTTTTATCATAAGTGATATGAGAAAACTATTCCTTGATAGAATTTCGACTTTTTGAACAATTCGGGATTGTTTTAAAATTAGGCAGTAAATTATTTCATTTTTTTTCCTTACTCTTTTTTTTCCAAGGAAATTATTTTCAAAGCAGTAGTGACTACTGATTCTTACAAAGGAATGAAAACATGTGCGAAACACGTTTCTCACATGAAAAGATAAAAGGAGAGTAGTGATTAATGTAGCTAAAGGAGATAATTTTTGTGTCGCTTTTTCTGTTCTATCCTGATTGGAAGACTCTACTTCGTTGTGAAGTTGAACCTTACCTCGTGTTTGTAATGTTTTTCTATATATTTTAGAATTTCGGCTCTTTATTTTTTTTTCTGGTCCTTCATCTTAGAATTTAGAAATAATACAGGATCGAAGTCCTAGGATGTTTCGAATGAGCTGGCGGTGATGTTAATTCGCAACAATCTTGAAAAAACTGCGATGTTGACCATTCAGAACGGATATCTGAGCCAGCAGATTTCAGTTTGGAAATGTTCTTTAACTCTGAATAATAAAATTATCAGGCAAAATGTATATGCTTGATTGTCGTTAACAATAGACTTTACAGATTTGTGATGAATGCCCAAGAAGTAATCTTTACGCAACACCGTTGCGAGTCCCTGTTTCTTGTACATCTTCTGCGAAGATGAGGTTCGTATCAGTTTCAAAGCTAGCTGTCCTGTGTTTAGTTAGTTTTCTTTTATAGTTGTTGATGTGTTTGGCTAAGTAATATCATTTGCAGATCACGATCGATGGAGCATAGTGAAACTTTTCCAAGTACTCCCATACAAGATTCTGTACCACGTTCGGCACACTCTCCACGATCATCATCTAAGACACCTCGTCTCCGTCAGCGAGTTTTTGCATCACTAGAACGACAGGCTGATAAAATGATCAATTTGCTGACACCACGCAAAGTTAAAAATAATCAACCTGAAATGCTAAAGCAAACCAAGGTTTGTTTTCTCAGCAATCATTCATAATTCAACAGTCATACAATACAAACTAGTTAAATTACTGTTGTCCTAGCATTGCTTTACTTCCTACTTTGCTTTGTAGTCCACATTATTCGTTCATGCGTTTTGGTTATAATTTCGGAACTGACACTTTTGAGTACAATGTATAAAATAAGGTTTTTTAGACAATGGTAAATGTATCAATTACATCTTCCAAAAACCCAGATCGTGTACGTCGCGAACTGATGCGTGTTTTTGCTGAACAAAACATTACAACGGATTATCATGGGTATTGAATTTGAGTTATATTGTGAGTGCATTCATAGGTGATATTAGTTCTAGAGTGAAATCGGATTAAGCGTATCTTTTTGGACCTTTTTTTCCAGTTTAAAGTAAATAATATATATTTTGTTTAATTTTTCTTTGTTTCTATTATAGATGGAAAATATCTGGTCGAAAAAAGGATGAATTCAACCGTATGATGACTGTAGAATTGGAAGTGGTTTGGATTGAAATGGGTAATAAGGAAAAATTAGTGGGTGTTAAGCGAAAGCGTCTTAATGGCGATGCCTTTCTTTATAAAAAAGTTTGTGAACAGGTTCTCCAGTTAGCCGGGTTGTGATAATTCAGTGATGTCGATTTCTTAAATTAGGGTAAAAGTGACACTGTCTTTTCAGTGTTAAACACATTTAAAAGTATGGAATTTAAACTTGGAAATGGTTTTGTCAGTGCTGTACAAATATTAAGTTGCACTAAAATTATTGAAAAAATTGTGTTATGAATGTCAGGTAATTTGGGACTGCCGAATTTGACTTCATGGAAATGGTTCCTTATTCCAATTCTTTATGAGAATTATCCGTTCCTAGTGTGTAGATTGCCCGTCTAGATGTTTGATTTGTAAAGCTGATATTGCATGTGCGTAGTTGTTTTGCCTGTAGTAAATGGTTTGACAACAGAGCTGATGATTTTTTGTTAAGAAATATTACTTTTTTCAGAGTGAATCTCAAATCTGCGTTATTATGTTTTTCCTTAATTCATTTAACCATATTTTATTGTATCAGTTTCACACAACTAAAATTAAACAGGAAATAGTTTTGAATTTCAACTGGAATTTACCATTTTTTATTGTCTTGTTATAAACTGCAACTTTATCATGGTGCTGATTTTATTTTTCATTGATTTATTCACTTAAATGTTTTTACGAGATGGTTAACACTGCTGAATTGTCGCATTCATTTTTCTCATTATTGAACATATAACTTATCTTTTCTGCGTTTACGTACTTCAGTTGTCACTAAAAATTGTTATTCACTTGATAAATAACCGTGATAAAATAGTTAGCATTTCTTCGGTAAAGGTGTTACGGCTAGCTGGTTTACTCACTGTTATGTATATCTAATAATTGTTTTTTATGAATATTAAAATTTTTTTTTGTTCAGAATGCGTCGTAGATAGTGTGTCTTTGTTCACCGCATGTTTTCTTTACCTGTATTATATACCCATTAAGATATGTAAGTTTTAAATATCGAAAACATGCAGTATTCCACTGTTCAAAATTAACAGAGGCTGTTAATTTTTCATTATTTGCCTGATTTGTTTTAATGATTACTTCTTTTCTTTGTTGATTTCGTTTGGTATTTGCTAAAAAGAGAAGATGAAAATTGATTTCAGTTGTTAAATCGCGTGGTCTCAATCAGACTCTATTCTTTAAAAAGCTGCTGTTGAACTTAATGTTTCTTATTGATGAAAAAGGGTCTAATCTAAGGAAATTGGACGTAAAAAATTTACTAATGTAGCATATTTGTGAAGCAGTCCATTCTCTAACAGATTCATAATTTGGGAAGTATGTGTTGTACATATTTGTTTCATTCTAGCTTTTTTTATTGTGCTTATTCCTAGCGAAGTTTTTTTTTTTTTTTTTCTACAGGAACATGCTTAAGCACTGTGTACCATCAGTATATTCCAAATTTTATTATTGGGGAGGAAGAAAAATTCGTTCTTGTCAAAGTGTTTCCAGTGCCGAAACCAAAATGGCAACAACCTCTAAACATCCACATGCAGAATTGAAATGATATTTAAGCAAAGAATTTCTGATTCCGAAGGGTTATTTCTTCAGTGCATTTCAGTCCATTTCCTGGAGTTGCTCTTATTTCAAGTGCAAATTGAATTATATATTAGACTATCTTTGAATAGTCTTTAATATTCACTTTAGCAAAATATTCTGTAGGTAAAAGCTTTTTCAATAAGATCAAAAGATTAGATAATGTTTATTCAGCGTTATGTTAAATACAAAATGACATTTGGTATTAAGTATGATATGTTTCCTCCTAGTAGGCGTCCAAGTCATGTCTTGGTTAAAAGAATCTTTCTGGACAGGGTATCATGGGTTATTCCTAGTTTTGTTAAATGTAGATCTTTTTTTTCTGAAATGTCCAATTCCGAATATAGATTTTGCCATTATTAGATTTGGATAAGCACTGCTAGTATCACATCGTTGTATCTTTTTTAGGCACATGGAGATGCTTTTTTTCCCATGGCTAATACAATTTCGTTAGGTAGTGGTACAGTTATTGATTATTACGAACCTATAGATCCAAAAGTTCGAATCATTTTATTACACTTGTCAGGATTTTCTAGATGCTATCTTTATGACTCATTTTTTTACTTATGTCAGGATTTTTTTTTCTAGGTTCTATCTATGTTTTGCTATTTCAGAATTTGGAAGTCAGATGGAAGACGTAAAACTTTGCAGCGAAATAACGTCAAGCAAAAGTGTTATTTTGGTTTATATTAATAGCTTAATCATCAGTGATTCGTCAGTGATTCATATGCAAATCATTTTACAAAAAATTGCGTTCAACCATTTGATGTTATTACAAGTGGTACTATTATCTTAAAAATATCAGTGGATGATATGTCAGAGTTGTGACTTGTGAAATTAAATTTTGGTATTGGAATAAAGTTTTTCTGGAATGCTTTTGGCATGCGGAACAGGTAGCGTGAACTTTTTTCAATGCTGCCGTGTATTTGGCATAAATGCCGTCATTAGAAGATATGATGCATTAAATAGCCGATACTGATTGTTGACTTTTCAAGGTTTTCTGAACACATTTTTTTCATTTATGTCTGTTTGGAGCATTATTTTTTCCCCTAAACTTCGCTATAATCTTTGTTATTTATTCATGGTTTTTGATGGTTATTATCGTTTTTTAACATTTCCGTATATCTTATTTTTATCGCTGTACCAAAGTCAACCGTAAGAATGGTTTACTGACTATTAGCGATTCATTTTGTTCATTGGTTTTTGAATATTCTAAATCATATAAGAAGTAAAACTTCATAACACCTCATGCAATGGTGAGTTCAACAAGGAGAACTGCCTTATAAAGTTGAGTTCTTCAAGATTGTTCAGAGCAAATGCAAGTTTCAGTTGCGTAAGATTTTTGGATGTGTGATTACAACTTTTAAGGGTTAAATATTTGTTTTCTGAGAACAGAAGGTCACTGCACAGAAGGCAAATGGTGAGGATAAGAGAAGCGGTCATTTTAAAAGTTGCGGTTAGGGTGGCAAGATTGATGGCTTCTCATAATAGTTAACGGTTCACTAGCTTTATAAATATGAATGCGGTAAAGTTGTGTTACTCTAATTGCGTAATCTCATATAGTGAACATTTGGTGCACGAAGTGACAGTTGATAGCTTGTTAGCTTAACAAAGACTAAAACCGCAGCCATATGTCATCCGCAAGCTGGCTACTATCAGCTTCTTGGGTTATGTGCATTAGTGGGATGGTGCCGACCTCATGGTCACTGAAAAATTCTCAATACCAGGAGAATGAAGTTCAATCGGCAGCATTGTTTATCTCCTTAGATATTGTTGCGAAATGTTCTATCTCTCATGAAAAAGAATCTGACCGTTCTGATTTGAGCGTGACAATGTTTAGCTATGAATGGAATGGATGATCCTGCTAGGCATAATTTTTCGCTGAAAAAAATGACATAACAGTTTGAGATTTATTCTCCCGACATTTTAAACAGCATTACTACTTAAATTTAGGGTCATTATTCAAGTGGTTTTTAATGAATGAAATGTTGGAGTATGAGAGCTGTTTTCATGGTCATTATCATCCTTTGACTATTGCTGAGCTCAGTTATTTTTATCCCTTTCAAAAAGATGTGACAACCATTTCTTTATGAAGCAGAAGAAAAATTGCTTTTGGCCTGATACCATTTTCATCAAATTATGACCTGAGGGTAGCGTTTTGCCACGTCAAAAAAAAGCAGAAAGCTGGGCCAGTTTAACTTATTTGTTTGGTGAACTCATTGACCTCTTCTCCTTGTCTCTGTAAACGACAGGAACAGAAATTTGCACTGGAGCAAGAATGTTTATAATTTGCAAATCAAACTGATGATTGCCTGGCCAGCAGATGAAGTAATTTGTTTATACTTTCAATGAACAACACAATTCATAAAGCAATCAAATCTCGTTATGATTAGATTTCTCGCTAGTCTGTTCATGGACTTTTTTAAGAACTAAAGGATTAGAAAATAAAAAGCAACTTTTTGTGATGGTATGCCAAACTTTATATTACAACATTAAATTGCCAAAAACATTTCATTTTTAATTTTTTTACAATGATTAGGTATTTATAAATCGTTTTTTTTTTCCTTGAGAAACAAACTGAAATCTTTCAATTTCATTTTGTTTTCTTAAAGTAGAAAAAAAATACTTTGAATATTTTAGAGAAATAACTAGGAATGTATCTCAACGTAATTTTTTCTCGAAAGGATCATCAATGAATGAAATGCAAGATGGAAAAATTGAATTAAAATTAAAAATCAGAGAAAAATCAAATTCAAACTTATATTGAAATTTCTCAAACAAAAATATTAGCAAAAATTTATGGAAGGGCATTATTGGCGACTAGATAGGAATGAAGATGAGGAGGAGTGGTTGAATCTACCGTACCCTGGAAGACGCTCCAAAGTAATCCATAGGAGTAATTTGACCAAAATGAAATGGTCCAACCCCCAGTTCAGTTTGTTTGCATGTGTATAAGAGAGTTTAGCAAAATCATTCTGGATTGGTAAGATCATCCTAGTGGCCTAGTTTATTGTTAGGACTAATCCGCAGGATTCAGAAGGACTCTGCAGTGAATCACAGTTATTCCGTTTAGAATTTCCTTTGCGGTAACCAAATACGCTGCAGAAGAATTAAATTAAAGTGAATTTGTTCCAACACTAAGCCTTACGTATTTTAAAATATAATCCAGGAAACACCCCGACAGCTTTCCTCTGGTCATGGATTTAGAAGCAAATCATCTGGAACAACAACAGCAGCCACACAATCTTCCAAGCTTTCCTGGACATTTACTTAGTGCTGACATCGTTCCCACTATATTAGACGCTTCACCTGTTGCAGCAACTGCAGCTGCAAACGTTGCCGTAAACACTGTAAATGGCACAACAGCTACAACTTTATTATTTGATAGCACCTCGTTGAGTATTGCTACCAACAGTGGTACCCTGACAGTAGCCAGTGCAATCTGTCCACCACCATCTAGTTCTTCAGCTAGCATTTTCTCCATCTCTCAACATGACGTATATCGATTACCAAATGTTGGTGCTGTTGACCAAAGTGTTACTGCTCTGAATAATATTGCAGGAAAATTACCAAAAAGTATGTATTATTACCAGTTTAAAATTCATTCCAAAATACTTGAGTTTGAAAGTCTATGAAATAAATAAGCAATTTTTCTCACATTCCTTTTTTATAAACTTGTTTATCTGAATTCATCCCTAAGGTATTCGTTTGTCTCAGATTATCTGCTAAGTAAAAAAAGAATACGACATTTAATGGATGAGTATTTCGTCATTAATCAGTCTATTCTGGTTTGTAAACTTTTTTGATATTTTATTAAACGTCACTGTATTTCAATGATTTTAATTAAAAGATTTTTAAACGTATTAAATTTTCCTGCTAGCATATAAAAATTTTGCACCATAAGATAGTAGTTTAGTATTTTTCGTATATAGGACTTTGCTCACTTCAGTTCATTTTATTTCCCACCTCAATTTTTGCAATACAAGTCTGTTCTGAAATCAGGAATTGATGAACTTCAGATAAAAAATAAGCGAATTTTTAAGACTTGCAAAATGTCTTTCATTCAAAAAAAAAAAATTCTGAAAGCAGTTTATTTCCAGTATTATTTACTAGCTCATTTTACAACCCAAAAGGATCGATAAAAATTGTTTGCGTAACTATCAGATCATCTTTGTTTTCTGATTATAAAATTTATACTTAATTTTTGTTGATTCAGCAAAATTATTACGAGACATGCGAATGCACTTATCGGAAATGTATCATCATTTCCAGTATTTTCTTGGCAGCTTTTCCTGAAGTTCTTAGTAGTTCAGAACTTATTCCCATTTGGATGCTTAAAAAATGTTTGTAGTAGAAGATGGAAAAAAAGAGTACGACGCATCATCGGGAGGTATTGAATGTGATGGGAATTCGAATGCATCACCGGATACTTGTTTGATCAGCAGCCAGAAACCACGCAGACAACGCACCCATTTTACAAGTCATCAAGTAAATATTTTAACACACGACATTCTTACAAATCATCAAGTAAATATATTTTAACACACGACATTTTAACACACGACATTCACACGACATTCTTACGTATTTTTTATTAGTTTCATCAATATCCTTATTCAGAAATATAAAACTGTAGAGAAATCATTACCTGGAAAATGCACGGAATATTTCAAGAATTCTTGATTAGTGTTTTCTGAAAATACTTTCTTTTCTTGTTTACAAACCTAATAACTGCGTTGCAGTTAACAGAGTTAGAAAATTGGTTTTCACGGAATCGTTACCCAGACATGGCCACAAGAGAAGAAATCGCATTATGGATCAGCCTTACGGAACCACGAGTTCGTGTACGTTTCCAAAATAAATTTTTCATATAAATCTGGATTAAATAATTACGACTGATCATTTACTAATAGAAAGTGAGATATGATTTACAATAATTTTTGAAAGTTCCCTTACTTTTTTTTCTTTTTTTTTTTTTTTTTGAAAAAAGGACTTGTAGCTGCGTTAAATTAGCTCCATCGAAACAGTGTCTTCACCTCAGAACCTTGAGATGTAATAGTTCCCAAACCCTATAATTGAAATGTGTAATTTGTGTCACTTCTAATGAATTGAAATCCCAAGTGACCGCAGACCGCTGTCCTTCTTTGCTGATTAAACTAACGCATTATCAATGTATCATCAATATCATTCAATAATCATCATTAACAGAATAACAATCATCACCGTTAACACCATCACTATCATAGTCCTTATCATTGCCATAATTATAATCACAAATATCATTATCATCACAACTATATTGTCGATATCGTCAACACTAATACCAAGAAATACCCAACAACAACAGCTAAATTTTAATTAAGAATTTGATTTTCTTGCGCTTCCTTACTATTTTGTTTCCACATAGTCAACGACTACACTAAGACAGCTAACTTACTGTTGCTTCGACTAAACTTATTGCTTACTTGAGTTTAGTATTTCGTTCTTTGAAAGCCAGCTGGATAAACATTTTCGTAGGAATTATTATCCTGACATAAAGTTATGATTCGATGCTCGCAGTGGTGAGAAAAAATAAAAAAAAAGATATTTTCAAATAATTACAAATTAAGAAAACGTAAACAAATACTTCGCAAGCAGTAATGGATCTTCCAAAGTTTACGGTAACAAATAATTGGAAAATCTAAGCTGAACATTCAGTTTTAGGGCACAGATGAATGAGCATTGTCATTATTGATATTTTAAAGCGACGCCACCAATTCCCGCTTTATCTTTTATATTTTCCGCAATAGTAGCTCATAATCATCTGAGTGCTTCGATTTTTTAAGTCTTTACGCGATTTGTGAAAGCATGTTAGAATTAGGAAATGGACCAGATTTCTGAAAAGATAATGCCTGATTAACTTTACACAAAATTGAAATTTGATGACGATTAAATTGCTTAAGTTCATCTACCTTTCTTATCTCAATATTTTCCAATCTTTTCATTTTTGTATGTTCAATGTTAATCATTGCTAGCATATTCATTTATGAATGATCCAGTAAAGCTGATTTATTGAATCCAAACATTTGAGATATTATTGGTGTTCTTTGATAAGCTCCAATCTCTCTTCAATTATTAAGTTAATCTTTGGAATATGTCAATAGTTCTTCTTTTAAAGGTATGGTTTAAAAACAGACGAGCAAAATGGCGTAAACGAGAGCGCCATTTATTAACTTCTGAATTCAAGAGTTTTCAACCAACCAATTGTTTCCCTCAATCTCTTTTACCAACCCATCCACAGGTAATAAAGGGATTTAAAATGTGACTAAAATTCAAATCCTTTTTATTCAATCTCACTTATGCCGTTAGAATTCTTGTTTTATCTCATCAAAAATTTATTTGAAAAGTCTATCCTTTAAGCGGTCAAATTTTATTGCAGCTTGAAGATGTCTATGGCTCCTCATCTTGGCAAGGTTATTCTACCAGAAATTCGAACACAGCTTTTGGTTGGGCTTTAAAAGCACAGGTAATTCTTGCTTATTCATAGTTTTTAATTTAAAGAAAGTAGCAAAAAAAAAATCTATAATAAAATAATATGCATAAGAATAATTTAGAATCAATTTGAGTTTCAAGAAAATTTGGGCACTCTTTTTTGACACATTAGATCAACTTATAGTGCCTCCTATTCGTTTAAAGTCTATGGTGGTAAGTTTTATATTGTTCTTTGATTTCCTTACTTTCAAAGTCCAAATTTAATTTATAGGGACCGCTACAACATACTTTCCCTCAGCTGATGAGTCCAACGACATCTAACAATGCAACGACCTTATCTCGTTTTGCTCCTCCTCAGCCTCCATTTTATTCACCGGGTTCTACAAACGCCACTAACCTAATATCAAAAGATGATAAGTTCAAATTACATTCTCAAGGGTACTGCTCCTCAGCCATGCACATGCCTACTACTGGTGTACATTCCCAACAGGCTAGCAGTTTTTCAGTTCAGTCATACCAATACAATGGTCCACTATAAACTTCCGATTCATGAATGTGTCATAACCCAGAAAATGTCGCATGAGACTTTTCAATAGGTATTGTGATATTGGTAATCTAGGAAATCAACCAATTTACTGTTTTCAGGCGTTTCGTTTCTCTTTATTTCTTGGAAAACTAGGAAAAAAAAATTACCTTATGTGTAGATGCTATTGCATCGACGATCCACTATGCATTTTACTTTAGTTGTGAGATTATTTTTCTCTGAAAAATTTTTTACTGATTTTAAATCTTGTTGTAACTTGCATATCTCTATTTTCAGTTTTACTAAATTGTACTTATAAATTTCCTTGTGATTTTTAAGACTGCGTGAAAATATCTTTGCAAATAACCTTATTATATTATCACAATTAAATGACTGTTTGCTCTACTGCTAATTTAATATAATTTTAAAGCTTTCAAATAATTTCTCCATTTCAATTTGTATTCATCTCCAAAATATGATGAATTCGTCAATTAGATGATCTAAATTAATGCGGTTTTTCAAATCACTCTTTTTTGCTGTTAATCATTCATCATGCTTCTCTTCAGATGAAAAATGTGGTCGCCAACTTATTATACCTTCCATAGTTTTTCTAAACAAAATACTTTGTTTTCCAGGTGTAGCATATTTTTTAGAGATAAACTTTAAAAGTTTTCAGTTATATTAATAAAGATATAATTCAGTGATGAAAAAAGATTGAATTACGGTTGCCAAGGAAGTAGTGTAATATACATGAAGTACTGCGCATATTTTGTTTGCTTCATAAACCTTTTTACAACATTAAATCTTGGGAACTATAAAGCATTTAAAAATTAATTTAGTAGATTTAAGGAAGATAGAGATGTAAATTTTAATTATAATATAGGATAGCTTTATGCATCATTGTATTCCACAACTAGTTCTTCATTTATTTTCAGTATTGATTTACAAAAGTGAAAGGTAGCATATTAGGCCCAAAAATCAATATTTATTAACTGAGAAGAGAAAATATGTCAACTAAAGATGGAATGCTTCCCGTAATTATTTGCAGCAAATAAAGCTATGTCTTTACACTAAAGGAAATCTGTTCTAATTTAAAAATCACAGAGGTTAGTTGTACTTTATCTAGCAATTTTTCTTGCATTTTAAAGTTCCCTCCATACTGATTGTTCTCATTGAACGACATATTGCATATTCAATAAAAAAAATTCCTTCATTCAAATGTTATTTTCTTCTCTTATTAAGTCAAGTCTAATTGTTTATACAAATACTCCATACGTTATTTCATTAATTTTATATCATAGAACTGCGTTATATTACACTGAACAGCGAGTAGATGTGCTGTGTTATATTTGCAGGTAATGTGGAAAAACTGTAAAATGATCAAATTTATAAAATTTCATCTTAGAGAATTCCATAATTTGTTCTCAAATACATAAAATTCACTTCGTGTAAGCTTAAATATAAATCAATAAATAGCAATACGCAGCAAGCATTCATTGGCTGAATGGTGGTGAGTCTGAAATCTACTTCCTTTCTCCACATTATTATATGTTCCGTATCGTAATAGTGAAATGAATATAGTTTGTCCAGGTTTCTTCAACGCTTATTATATTTTTCAGATTTCACTAGTTTCAAGTTTTTCCTAAGTAATTTCATCAAATCAACCAGTTAGAGGAAAAAATTCCCACAGCACTATGATCTGCAATGAAAATTTCTTTTGAATGGCAATAAACTCCTTCATTTATATGATTTGTTCTACTATTTCACTTAAATACAATTCTGTAGAGAGCAGAAATCGAGATTTGTCATCACCGTAACATTTAAGATAAGGAGAAGGATCCTTTTATCGTCTGGCTGATGCTTCCTTTCGAGAAAGGAAAAATTTAAGTTTTAATTTTTTGTTCAAAAAAAAATGAAATTTTTCCAAGAAATGGCATTTTCATAACCTGGAAAAGTTCATTCATTCCTTACTTTCATTTCTAAATTTTAATGCACGATGGATTTCTCACGCCACACACGCCACATAGTATTTCGATCCTAAGCTAAGTGAATCATTTTACATTTAACAACAAATCGTTGTTGGGAACGTAGTTTTTAGCTCAGTTCTCTTAGTAAATTTCAGTCTGAAATTAATAAACTGATGATGTAGCTGCATATACTCGCAAAAAAACTTTGTTTGGATAACTGAGGTTCAGAACAAGTTAATCTTCCTATGTTTTTCTTTATTATTGGCAAAGTGCACTGAACTCTAAGCATAAATGGTTACCGCCCACTCCGTATGAATTTACTTCACCAGTAAAGCTTTCGTTGCTTCAGAAATTATTTTCTTCCTTTTTTCTTGAAAAAATTCAAAGGCTTATTATGTATACTTGGTAATAGTATTGCGTAATTAAGCTTTAAAGAAAGCTCATCAAAGTGGTAGAACACAGAAATTCTACTCTCTTGCTGAAAACTTTGTGGCTCACTAATTCCCACAAATAGTTTCATATACTTAACATGAATCTGGAACTTTCTTTTTTAATCTAGAAAAGTTTATTTACTGTTTCTGTAATGCCTGATTTTCCCAAACTCTAAAGCTAGTAATTAACTTTTGCTATTATGTATCATGAAGCTTAAAATAAACTTTTTGCTGAAGTTTTTGATCTTACAGGACAATAATTGAAATGGACATATGATTTCCACAGTTCCTTTTTCGTAGAGAAAGTATCCTGGTAAGATTACATGGAAAATCTCTGGAATGAAAAAACCGATTATTTTATTTCTCCTGCACAATAAACTTTGAAAATTTCTGTTACTTGATCTACTTGCTTTGATATGATGCTGTGTGAATGGTAAGGTATCAAAAAATCCATAACATGGATGGCAACTTTTCACTTTTCTAATATTCAGAGATGCAAAAAAATATGCGCCTCCAAAACGAGTAATTGAGATTTCCTTTCTTTAATTAAGTAATTTTAGCTATTACATCAATCGAAAAAAATAAATGATTTGATAACGACTGATGAAAATTAAAAATTAATTTTGAAAATTCCTACTATTGTCAATCAATATTTGAGTTTTTTCATGAAAATTCTTTAGATAATGAGATATTTAAGAGACTTCTTTTGAGCAGTAAAGCTGATTAGTTATGCAGCACTTTTCTATATATTTACAACTTGGATTCAAACATGGATGCTTTTGAGATGATATCAGTTTCGATTTTATCTCCCAAATTCATACTTATATTTTTTGATCAATACTATCGGGTGACAACGTTTGTCTAAATGATAATTTTGTTTGTATTGACGCACGGATACAGGTGATGCAGGAGCAAGAGAGAAAAAAAAAAAAAAAAAACAAATTAGCCGGCTTGAAGGATAAAAGAAAAAAACAAAATTCACTGGTTTGATGCTTTCGTCACGAATCTAATTAGGAAAATGGCATTATATTATTTTACTGGTATTGTTAATTCCAGAAATAGATCTCCTTGATAGTTGTCATCCTGAACTAATTCATACAATGCTGTTAGAATAGATTTCTCTATGAGATAATGCTGTAGACAAAGTCTCTCGATGGATGTCCTTTGCCAAAATATCCAGAATTTCTCAGCAGATCTAACGGAAGGTGCAATGGATTCGACATCATCTCACAATAAACCTTTTGCTCATATGGCATGTGAACGATGGCTTCATGCAAGATTAGATAATTTACGCACTAAAAGTGTTTTCAATCACGTCTGTTTTTTTTTTTTTTTTTTTTCTTTTTTAAGTTATTCAGATCAAAAAAATCGTAGTTCATCATCATAATACAGCAAATTTAATTCATTAAATTCATTAAACCTTTCCACATGCGTTTCACATTTTTAGAGTTTCCTTCGATTTTGTCCACTTTTGTTTAATTTCAATATACGTGATAAAGTGGTGATCGTAGAAAAAGGAACAAACTTACTGCATTGAGAATGCATAACCAAAAGAATTTTTTTTCAGAGAACAGAATATGAATATTTGCCACAAAAGCTGGAAAAAAGCTTTGTGGATTTTAATGTCAAGGAAAAAAATATTCGTGGCGAAACTCTTATCATGTCGGTGATAAGATATGAATTAGATAAAGCAAATCAGGTTTGTCTTATGCATGAAGGCAAATTCGTGTGTGAAAAATCAATCCAGTAGTAAGTGGAAATGTCCGAGAAATAGAATTGATAACAAATTTACAGGTGCGCTATATAAACTTGTTGATTCGTTCTGGATGTGATCCTTCTGAACCAGATGAAAGGCAGTTGCGTACACCATTAATGTTAGCTTGTTTGATGAGAAACGATACCGTTGCTCACCATTTGATCTTGGTTTGACTACTTTACTTTGTTTGACTTACTTCTATGCTAATAAAAAAACTCAAGTTAAACATTTTACTTTATGCAGGATTAAGTACCATTCAGTTGCTTTCACCAGCGAGCAAATGTATTCCATAATAATTCGTTTATAAGAAAATGTTACTTTATTAACTTCCATTGTTCATTTATTTCAGGTTTCACTCCAATTTCAGTTAATAGCTATGCTTTGTCTGAATTATACTAAGGAATTAAGGCTCTTTCTTTCAGCAAAATGTGAATCTCATGGCAGTTGATAAAATGGGTAATACAGTATTAATGTATGCGGCGATGTATTCTCAGTCATCGCTGTTAAACTTTCTGGTAGAAGAATTGACTAGGAGATGGTGTATCGAAGCATTTCGTACCAAAAATCTGATGGGTTATACTGCAGAGAGTTTAGCTCGAAAAAATGAACGATATATGTTTTCCATGTAACGTTTCCCTGAAGTTCTTTCATTTCACTTTCTTTTAAATCTAGCTTTTTGAATGCGAAAATATTGTGAGATTGATTTTTTAGAAAACTGACGTCTCTAATTAAACCACACTTCCCTCATTTGAAGAATATATAACAGAAATTGAGCTTGTAAAAAATATAGAATACCTGAGAATTCGAATAAGTTGAGCATTCCAGAATTGCATCAATATTGCGATGGATATCAATAGTATCACTTGCACTTGGAATCTAAAGGATTTTGGTTATCGTGAAAGAAAATAAGTGAATGCACACTTACTGTTCAGTAAATCTAATTGTATACTGTTTAGGATGCTAAAGAAGGGACGTTTGCGCTTGGTGAAACGGCTGCGCGATCAAGTTTCCTCAAATTTGATGTTTGCACCACCGTTTAATAATTGGAACACATACAGTAGCATTTATAAGGTAACGGTAAAACTATTTCCATAATACATCACATAAGTTGAAGTTTAAGATAATCAAGTATAAAGGATTATTTTTTCATAACTTCTTAAGTGACATGTGCACTTGCTGATGTTTGGGTAACGTAAGTAAAAGGTATAGATCCTTACAACGTTACGGAAATTTCGTTTTTTCACTACAAAAGAGTGTATTTGCAGGCTAAGCAGAAGTTTTTGTTGTACGCACAGCGCTGTGTGCAAACTTTTCAACACTGTACTTCATCAGCGGCAGAAAGTTCAAAATCATCATTACCACTATTGCATGTTAGTTTTAGAAGAAATATTTAAAAGCTCTATATTAGTAACAGCAGAAGTTATTGTCTAAATCTATCTTTAAAAAAAATAAAAATGATAAAACGACCTATTAGCGGATGAAGGGCAATACCTGACCTGCGCACTGAATATTATTATCCGGAGTTTTAGTAATTGAATGATCAGTAAACTGATAAATTCATTGTAAAGCCAGCTAATACTGTAATAATTCTTTTGAATTTATCATATTAGTTGATTGAACAACGCGAATGCCTAATTTTTCTTGAGTCTTCTCTTTAAAATTTTGACTTTTGTGATTCAACCTAAAATTTACATTTTTATCAGAACTGGTTGGTCAACTATTGAAACAATTATTAATGAATCAGAATAACTTAAAGAAGATCAGATAAGTCAAAAATAAGAAATTTAAAGTGACGGGGACTAAGAGAATAATTATTAAAGTCCATTTATCATTTAGTTTTAGGTTCAGTATTATTGTTTTTTTTTTATTGTCCTTGTGTACTACTTTACTTGGAAGATAGTGTGTTGTTAAAAGTCTTAGAAATGAAGTTTTTTTAGTAAAATCTGCTACAAAATTTTTCCTAGCTGTAACTTCATCTCATTCTTGGGAAAAAGTCAAAATATGATTTTGAAAAGTGTGGAAACTTTTTCAGAGTATTAACAGCAGGTTTTTCTTGAAAAACTGCCAGCCTAAGACCAACCCTAAGCCACATAGTACAATGGAAGTAAATATCAATTTACCACCCCTATCACAATCGCTTGTGAATGCGTCAACAGTATTATCAGGTAAGCAAGGAACAGTGTATTAGGGCAAAGAGAAGGTTTTCTTTGAAAAATTGTCATTTTAAGATGAATTGCTACACAGTGTAAGGGAAATAAAGTACAATTTATAACCCCTATCATTTATTCACTGAATTATCCGTCTCCCAAATTCGAGTTTCATTATTATATCATAACAATTGATGAAAAAACAATGGAAAATTGTGGAAGATCAATTCTATACAAACAATCTCTTTATAATTTTAATTTAAAAGTTTCTTAAGTAAGAACCAAATCGAAACTTTCCAGGTAACTGAACATATTTAAAACGAAAAGTAGTTCCAGCTGTAACAGTGACGGGCAGTAAATGATCAATCAGTCACAACAAATAGAAGTGCCTTCTAAATAATTGACCGGTTGGCAAAAGTTACACGACAAATCAATGTATCTGCATATAGTTCGTATAATTGCATAATTATGTTTAGAAAATATCTCCCATATTAGTAAATAAAGTAAAATTTTCTGGTGAGTTTATAATCGTATTACATAAACGAGAATCAATAAAAACTTACTGTGAACTTCACAGTTTTGCATTTTTGTTTCCTGACAAATTTAAGTAGTCATTTAAAAGAAAAAAATTTTGTTTTTTTTTTTGCACAAATATGAATCCACACTACTGCATTATTGTGACAAGGTTGCATAGATCGTGTGTATTCATGAAAGGCATAAGATAGATTTATTACAATATTCCGATAAACAAAGATAATGTACATCACTTCTGAAACGTTGGAATCTTTTCAGGCATTCAGAATTATAATTTTATAATAAGTTCATAGGTTTTCTTAAGAATTGAGGAGTGAAATGGGATGCATTAAAATCATTTCATAAATAACCCGGAAAAAAGAGCTATACAGTAGTTTCAGGAGTTGAAGACAACTTATACTTTCTATAAATAAGTGTCACATTATTACTCTCTTCATTTTCTTCTTCAGACCGTGCATAGGATAAGGAATGGCCTTTGTCTTCTTTTTTTAACGAGATTTCGGTTGTCAAATTTCCAACGCTACATGAGACTGTATCTATTGAGCGTCGCTTAGTTTGTATTTCATAGTTTCTTCCCTTCAATCATCTTTAATACCAAGAATTTCTGAATTCTGTGATAGAATTGTGTAAAACTAGGATTTAGAAGTATAAAATATACGAAATGCATTAGCATACTTTATTTTGAACATTTTCTGCAGTTTATGTGCTGCAATGGAGCTATTCCTTTTAGAGAATAAAAATTCAGTATTTAAGTACAAAGAGTGGAAAGTCGAATTCTTTACCTGCAGCGCTAATAACATCTTCATTTGAAAATTAGCTTGTTCATTGCATACATCAGTAATCTGCGATGTTATCAATCTCTTTTTTTCCACACACTTGAAGAGTTCATCTGAATAATTATGGTTGTTAGTTGGATCTTTTTATTTAAAACTTTTTTTATATCAGAAAATTTTATATTAAAATCTATTGGACGGTAATTCTCGATTAGACTTCTTATATCAGTTGCATATAATTTTAAACGATTGTATGAATAAAAATCTAACAGATATGTCCGAGAGTAAGGACCAAAAATATTGAAGCATAATCTTTTTCGACACCAAGAATCATTTAATAAGGTCAGCATTAATTACGACGGTTTACAATAATTTTCCAAATGGGAGTTTTTAACATGTGTATGTGACATATGCCATGACAATAAAGGGATTTTACTGCGGCAAAGAAAATAAGGATAAAATTCCAAGTTGGATAGAATTCCATAAAGTTGAAGCATAACCTTTTTTGACACCAAAGTAATCAGCCCAATCGGTGCTTGCAGTAAATGACTTCGAGGTCAAATTATGAAAATCTGGAGATTCTGACGACCAAAAATGTGCGTGCTTAGATTGTTTTGGTACCTGTAACAAATCATCAGCAAAAATTTTAGAATAAATAAAGGCGACGCAAAGTTTTGGAGTCAAGTAAAGCTACAAAAATCCCTGACACTCATTTAAACGTCACCATTCGAACCAAATAATCGATATTAAAAGAGTAATAGGAAGAAATGACATTTTAACATACGTTGTATCGTTTTTAGTTCCAATTGAACATTGGTTATTTTGTATTCAAAATGGCAGAGTTTTTTGTAACTGTGATAGTGAATGAGTGGCGGTAACAACTTTCCCACATTCAGGAAGGGGGAATCTGAGATATACAAATAGGGCTTGACTCTGAGACAAAATTGATTGTTTCTTATAAAAATTGAAAATTGAAAACCTTGAAATGATTTAAGAATTATTGAGAAAAATGGAATCCTAGAATTTAAAAAATCTCAAGTACGAACAAGAAATTTCTTTAAGCGACCAAACCATTACATAAATTTTTGACTCTATCACCTTAAATTCCACTAAAGACAAACATGCGAGGATGAATGCCTTGATTCGGTCTGTTAAGCCTCATTTTTTAAGTTCTAACTTCGTTTCTAGCACGCAATACCAATCATAAAAGTGAAATGCATATAAATCAGATTTGAATATGCGGTAGAATTTGAATCATCGATACTTTTGTAAAATAACTTATAACAACCTCTAAAGAATGGGTACGAATTGCTTTGTGATTATCTTCCTCAGTATTGACAATAGTTTGCTTCAACGGTAAAAGACTGAAATTCGGATGTCTTAAACAGTTTCCACGGGAAGCAATGGTACTGCTTGACGATATATTTGATGAACTGGCCGATTTACAGATATTTTGCAGCTTCATTCGCCTAAAACTATGCAAATTACAATGTGGAAAAGAATTCATAAAACAAAGGCATGTGGAGTGAAAATCATGCTTTCGAACAGCTTCTTACCAGCCTTAAACAATATTTACCTGAGTTTTAATCAATATATAATTACCAGTAAGATATATTAACAGATGACCGTCCTCACAGTTACTAAGCTCTTCATTACCTTTGGAAGTATTATAAAGGAAGGAAACAATTATAACTTTCAGTTTGCCAAAAAAAATCTGTTTTATTTCATATATAGTTGGACTAAATTTAGCTTGTTATTTCATCATTCCTTATTAATTCTTACTAGAAATTTTGTAACGTTTTAGATTTTTAATGAAGCTTAATTTTTCAATATTTACAAAATTACAGGTACAACAGCATTTTCTTTTACTTATCCCGCCTAACCAAAAAGAAAAAATGAATTAAATAGCCGAGTACACATGCTTAAGATAATTACGCCACTATTATTTCCATATTTTATGACAGATTCAGAAATTCAGAGTTTACATAGCTGGTAATGATGTGGCTCCGTAAAGAGAATTGTCCTCAATGTATTGAATAACTTCATCACTCGTGCAGTATCGTATCGATTCTTTACGCCGAATAGCTGTTCTGAAATTAGCTTCACAACCTTTCAATCTAAACTTACCAGTTATAATCGAAGTGACTTAACGAATTAATTAAGTTGAAATAGTGGTTAAATAAAGAAATTTTTTTGGAAGCTGGAATGTTAGCCATTAGCACTAGTAACAAAAAAAAAAAAAAAAATGCGCACCTTAAACGTGTCGAACTGATGTCATTCGGACAAGTTTCATCTTCAATCACAAATATATTCTTCTAAAACGTCAGAACAGTGAAAGAAACACTTCATTTTTCATTAGAATCTACTAGAAAGCCAGTTTTGAAATTTTAAGATATGAATACCTGGTAAGTATGGAGCACATCTGCAAGATAGATAGCACTAACAGGATCAGTGTTTGCTCGCATCACTACAACCATACCAAAATCTCGGACAACTTCCTCGATCTAATTTATTAAAAGTTTTAGTCCATTAAAATTCAACTTATTATAAATTTATTGCTCCTTTATTGGTCATAAAGACAAAAATAGAAATGCACCAATTTAGTGCATTATATCTTTTAGGCATGTTACTTTTTTCTTTTTATCGAAAAAAAAAATATTTTTTTTTTAAAAAATAAATTTCTAACTCCATATTACAGCGACATTATTTGCATTAAAAAAATGGAAACAAATAAACCTGCTTAGTATTCCACAGCATAATGTCGGAAACGGCCAACTTTGTAATGCTTTCGATAACATCACCACCACAGAGTAGTAATAATCGTACTTTGCAATTTTCACTCCTATATTTACGATTAAATACTTTCTTGAAATGATGCAAAACATGAATTGTCCTTATCCAATCACCTTGTGAACATTCCCATCCATCTGCTCTGTAATAGAGGTATAAAAACCTTTTTGAAATTGTGAAATCTTTTCCGAACCCAATTTTTGTAGATTTTTAATGTACTGTTGAAAAAAATGAATTGAAGATTTCCATGTAAATTGCAATACTTGATTCAGTTTTAAATATTACATTTCAAAATGATGTATGAAAAACAGACACCTGATCCAGGATGATGATTTGACAGCCAATTCTACCATTTTCAGCCTGTGTTTAGCCGGTACTATATCAGGTCGACCAAGACTATCCGCTACTGGACTCATAATACCTTCAACGACTTCCCATCCATGTATTTTCTTGAGGTAGTCACGAGCACGTTCTATAGCATTATAACAGTTTTCTCCAACAATTTAATGAAGTTAACTTTCAACTTATTTATACAATGAAATAAGAAAATTTGTTTACTCTTTTAAAAAAGAAAAACTGTTACTTAATTTCTGGTCAAAAATTGAATAAACTATTTGTCGATCAATTAAGTTCATTACTTATGGATTTTTCCAGTGAAATCAGCCAAACAAAGCATAGCTTAAGAGAAGTTTTTAATAAGAATAATTAACTGAAGCTTTAATTCAGCGAAAATTTAATTATTAGTTGGACTAATTGGTTACGAATTACGCTTTTTGAGGTGTTACATAAAAGAGTTATTTCTAATGACATTCAGTTTTGCCAGTCTGAGTCATCCGCTAGTTGATTTGGTTAAATGATGCCTTTTTACAAATGAACTAACAAAACAAAATAATTACCAAACATTCGAAGGTGCATATAAGTTGGTGGACTAAACGTGCCACATGAAAGCAAAGCCACTTGTCTAGAATTTACTTGCGACGTGATAGCGTCCGAACTCTTTTCCATCAAATGTCCCAAACATCACTTCATTGCTGCCAGTCACATTACTTTTCTTTTCAATGAAAAATTTTCCTTTGAATCAATCAACTTAGCTTTCACTATTGTATCCTTTTCTTTGATAATCGTCTTCTGTAAAAGCTTAAAGAACTCATTTGACATACGTGCATGAGTGCATATGTTGACTTAATTTTAGAGTTGCCAATGATCAAAATGATCGATGGCTAAAACACAGTCGTTTTGAAGATGTCACCAAGGGACGAAAGTATCAATCCATTTTGGCATACAAGAAGAAAGTATTAACTGGACTAATCTAGAAAAACAAATCTTTCTAAATTTATAAGAGAATTTTTATGATGCATTAGTAAATGATGAACGAAAAAGAAATTGTAAGAGCGTACATATAATTTTGCCTGTAAATATCAATTAAACTTCAAAAGCCGCAAAGACATATATTTTTTACATATAAATTTTGAAAAAATCATACATCGCGAATTTGTGTTAAAGGTAAAACTGGAAAAGGTGAAAGAAACACTATTAAATAACTCATTTCAGAAATGATTCTGAAATAATTCTTTCCACTAAGATGAGAAAATTAGCTAATGAACTAGATCTAAAAATCCAAATGATTGCAGTTTTAAAGCTGTAGATAGTTATCAGAAAGTATTATTTTGATACTGAATGACAACTAAAGTAAAACAACTGAAGTTCTAGTAGCATGCTTATTGTATTCAAGTTTTTTTTTTTTTTAATTTGGTGAATTTTGGGCACAGGAAACTATGTGAAAATGTGATCCTTTAAAATTGATTGCTAAAAAGCAGTAAAAGATTTTCCGAAAAATAAAAATGAAGACACATGTCTTTGAGCTTTAAACTTTTCTTGGAAAAATTTGAATTTCACTAAGACAATTTTCTGTGCTAGCTGAAATGGCAAATATGTTTGCTATCTATTTCCAAGGTTTTCTTTTCGTCCAGTGAAAAAAACGATAGAGATGGCTTATAGCAACAATCCCAGAGTCCGCAACATTTAATTAAGTTGGACGAATGCAGATAGAATTTCTTCGCAAGAATATTCCTGTCTAAGAAAATAGTAATAAGAATATCGCAAACATAACAGAATTTTTTTTTTTCGGAAGCTTATTTAGAGGACAAAAAGGGGATTATCAGCATATTGGAAGACCGAAAAACAATATCACTTGATAAAATGATAACAAATAAGGTGCTAAAGATATCAAAAAAAAAAAACAGTATGGAAGAAGTGAATGCAAGAGTTCCTTCAGAATAATGGCGCAGCTAATGGTGCATAGGACAGTGCAATAGTAACTGCCGAAAAAATGAAAAGAAGACGAGAAATAAGTGCAAAATGAGAAGAATACTCAGGTAGCATTTACAAAGAATAATTTAATAAGTGCTAATATTATGCAAAATGTGCTGAAAGAAGTGAATTAGAAGATATGAAAAAATTAGTCCAGTAATATTAATTAGCTGCGCTTAGTACAGCAGACTACTGAAGACGAAAAGTGGTCCATTCAGAAGAAAAACCTAACTAAATGATTGAAATAAAGGTCAGGACAGGAAAACAATATGTTTATTTAGAGAAAAGATAAGCTGAAAAAACAAATGACCACATGGAGATGTTTGAAAAATGCTAGTGACGAAGTCATTGTGGATGGAGCAAGAGCTCAATATTTGCGACATAAAGTTATGAGTTAAGTGCGGATTATAGCAAAACAAAAATAAAAAAAAGGGTTGACTAGTGGCAAGTGCAAACGGAGTGACTGATATATGCACAAAATGTTGCAGTGCAACTGCATTATATATCAGGCCAATATGCATTGAACATCAGAATTGACTATCCTTATAATATTTTTTATTGATTACCCATTTCGTATGCCAATGAAATTTGTGAATCATTTGTTGAAATGTGAATGCTGATGCTAATATATTATATTTAAGCATCTTCCCGGGAAGTGTTTATGCATCCTGTTGAATAGCAAGCATGCTTTGCCTCCTCAACACCCTGCCAAAGATTTATCACTTTCCAATGACTCCCACATTACATCTCTTCTTCATTGTTTAGTCTTCAAATTTTCACATAAATTGTAACCTCGTAAATCATGTGAACAGTGACCATATAAGCATTTAATGAATAGATTTAACTTAAATAAATTTCGAGTGAAGAATATAAAAAAAGAAGTCCGACATGAGAAGTTTCTTACCACATAAAAATTTTTTTTTGATTTCGATTTCTAGATTGCTAAAGCAACAATTTAGTTTAACTTTTTATATTTTGCTTATAACTCTTGTAAAAGTATTTAAATAAAATTTAAAAATGAATTGGCCCTAACAGTTTATGGTAAACTCCGTTGAATAATTAAGCAATAAGTATTTAGCAATAGGAGTAATTAAAAAATCATTAGCATATGAGTAATTATTAGTGATGAAAATAGTCACTAAAATTTGGATAAGAAAAACTTGCGAAGATTCTGAGAAATAAGTAGTGTACCAAGAAAATTATGTTTCAATGCGAAGCAAATAGATTCAGTGGCTATAATGATGTCTTCAACTATAAGCCATCACTTTTTTTCACTAGCAGCTGCTTACTGTTAACAAAATGCTGATCTTTCCTTCTTATTCAACATCGATTTTCCGGACCAGAAGTGTTCCTCCACTCAGAACGAATCATCTCATCTCATTGAAATTTGCAAATGAAAGCATGGAAAAACAACTAGTGATTATCTTCGATGGGCTCCACAACTGGAACAACAGGAAAGTGCTTGTAGGACAGACCCGAAGATTAGTGAGCATTTCTTTTTCCCATGTTTTAGTTGTTGAAACCAATCTTTTAATCATACCAGTTACAATAATATGGGGACTAAATATAATTACAAAGGAATAACTTAACGAAATTGATGCTTTCTTTTTTTTTTTTTTTTTGGTGGTTTCATAAATAAAACAGCCAAATGTATGCATTTTTGCGACCAATTAATTAAATTCCAAGAAAAAGGAATATTTCGATTCTTTTTAAATTTGAAGTAAAAACCTAGATGAAAGAGTGCAAAAAGAAAAGAGAAATATTTGACAAGTTTTGGAAATATAAAAAAGAAGAGAATCGGTTTATACTAAAGAGAATATAAATAAAGAGAACAGAAAATAGACCTCAGTGGTAGAAATCAAATCAAATTAGAGTTTAGACGCCGAGCAAACAGACTGAATCGATTTTGAATAGTTTAGATTAATCAACGATCTTTCAAAAGTTTTTGTGTTTGTGTAATAGCAGAAAGGCTTAAGTCAAGCTGAATGGACCATCAGCCACATACATAAGCATGCATGCATGCATTATGCGCTTGCCTTTCATTTCGCTTCGCCATTCCTAAAAGTATTAATTTGAAAACAATAACAGAACAAAGGTGAAAGCAATAAAGATGGTACTTGATCAAAGCTCAGCAATAAGAAAGACAAACAGAGAAGTGGATGATGATATACATCGATCGAGTACATCCTAAAGTTTGTGGACGGATTTCTTATTGAGACAAATTAACAACCCGAATAATTGTCTTATTCTGAATAGATTGAATAAATTTACAAAAATGACAGGCGTTTAGTTCCAAACATATATATATATATATTGACTACCTTAAAATATAATCATCTATTTCTTTCAAATTTACTTTCCAATTAACAGATAAATACACATTCATGTGTATTTTATCTGGTTAACAACGAATTGTCAGTCCTATTCAGGATCGAAAATAACCGAGTTATAGTTATTATTTTTTTTTTTTTAATTTTATATTTAGTAGTTAATAATTTAACGATTATCTACCATGATTCATTTACTTTTTTTCAGGTTTTTATGCCTTTAGCTCAGGAGCATCTCACCTATTTTTAATTATTGCATAATTGACCAAAGCTTCCTTCATTTTTTTCTTAATGTTTAGGTTTTGGTATATTCAAAAAATAAATGAATGCTTCATCATTTTTTTCAGAAAATAAGCTAGTTTCTTTTTCTTCGCTGTTTTCTTCATGTCAAAATGGATTTTTTTTTGTCTACATCATTCAACCATAAAGAAAGCTTTATCTAAAATTCCAAAATATTGTCATTCATTTTCCGGAGAAAATAAGCGGGACTTTATAACTGATAACACCATTATGGGACATATGGAAAATGGTTGATTCTAATCTTTAATGTGATTCAATGAAATAATAATGATCAATCTGCGACTGGAACGCAAGTCTTAAAAGAAAAGTTAAGTCATTTCTTTCTATCCGACTGCTTTTTTTCATTTAGGATGTATGCAAGGATAAGGTAAAGAGATTGTACTAAAATATCGAGACTTTTTTCTCTTTTTACCCAGAAAAAAACGAATGATAGTGAAGAAAAAAAAAAAAGAAATGGCTGTGAACAGTCGAATACGATACTTTTAATAAAATGCAACTAATTAATACTGAGCAAATGACGTGATATTGAAACTTCTAAATTGAATATATTAAGATGAAAATTTCCCGAAAAACATTTTCTGAGACTTCGAAGGCAAGATATCCGATAAACCAAAAACGGACGCATGAATTATTGTCAGTACACTAAGAATTCATATCAAAAAAGGAAAAATTTGTTATTGAAACAGTGCACTATACTTTAACATATGTAATTCAAATTCTTGCCAGTGTTGCAAATGAAAACTAAGAGAAAAATGAAAGTGGGAAAGAATAAGGAAGAAGAGAGTTAAAATACAAGTAATCGCGAACTAATCTCAGGAATTAGTTCTGTAATTTGAAAGTATCGGAGTGGTGGGCAATCTATCGAACTGTAACAAATCCTCGGAGATAACTCGAGAATGCTCAATTTTAAATAGGAAAAGTAACATATGAAAATAAATCTTAACTTAGGAAATTTGTTTCAAAATATCATGAGCTCTTTGATCTTACACTTGGAAGGAACTGATATATGGAGAAGGAAAGTCACTTGTGTGGGAAGAAATATTGACCCGAAAACTTTTTACCAGTTAT